TCAAATAATAATTCATCAATAAACCATTTTCACATCTAGACAATAATCAATCATGACTATTGCACTCAAAGTAACATAAGATCTCGCATGGACAAACAAATTTTTCAAAATTGAAACAAATAGCATGATTGGACATAACTTATGAATTAATAACAATTTTAAACATCAAGCCAAATCATCCAAAGTTAGCAAGGCTATCTAATATGTCAATACCAACACCAGTAGAAGTATAATATACAGGCACAATATCTGATCAACACCCTCAAACTTAAACCACACATTGTCCTTAATGTGTATAAGAACAATATGAAATAAAGAAAGAGGGTTGACAAAACTTCCACGGTTGAATGTTTGTTGAAGGATGCTTATGATGAATTTTGGCTCATGACCTTGTATATGATTCACCCCCTAAACTTGGCTTGGAACCATGGATATATAGGACTTCAAAAACTACCTACGAAAAAACAATGATAGTTAATTAAATAAAAACATGAAAATACATAAAATAAACAAAAGGCTTAAAGGTTAGAAAATTAGATTACCTTCCAATAAGCAACTTTTTCATAGGATTTAACTCGACTTTGGGAATTGAATCATGGGTACCTAAAAAGGGTTTAGATGTCTTGCCCATTTTTTTCTTTTGGCTTTGCTCCACTTTTCATTTTTTTTTCCAAACTTCAACATTGCCATTTTCAATGTAATAGCACTTTTCCACTCCATCCGTTCAAACTTAACAATGAAGATTTCTACCTCCTCGTTGAATTTAATCACAAAATCAATTTTTATGCAATCAATGGAGTCTGATGAATGTATATTGATTTCACCTTCATTGATTTCTACATCTTCGACTGGTACCTTTGTGGTTAAATTGTATTCACTTTAAATTCTTTTACGATCATTGATATTTCTTCGAATTGAATACTGAACGACAATCTGGATCCATGGCCAATGAGAAGTCGATCACATCGTCTCCTTCAAGTGGATAATATCCCCCTTCCCCCGCCCCACTTTTGAAATTTATCCCAATACATGAAATCTCCCATAAGCATATCATATTCATCCAACTCGACAAGTTCATGATAATATTTTGCAAGTACTTTCTCGTTCAATAAAGGAAGACCATCTCCCAAAAGTTTGATGTGCTCATCGCAATTATTAGGTACATAATCTTCCGTGAGCATATAACTCTCATCAGAATTATCCGTGCTTTTGTCCAACCAAAGAAGTTTCAACTTGAATACATCAGTGCACGAATACAAACATTGTCTAATACAATACATCAATAAAAAGTTTCACATCTTGGATTGCCTCCAAGCATATCCCTTATAGTTTATGTAGAGATTAGTCATTGCAAATGTGTTGTTACTTTCCCGTCATCGGAATCATGCATGTATATTTGAAAAGTATATAGAAAGACTATAAACACGAGAGATTAAAATCCCTGAGTAGCCAAAAGATACAAAAAGAAAAGCAAATGAAAAGAAATAAAAAGAAATTGTTAAAACTGAAATTAACTAAAGTAGTAATCAAAGTAAAACATTCACTGACAATTGCGCCAAAAATTTGTTCACTATGAAAATTCAAATAACAATTGCAAGATTCACGTTCAAGTAATAAAGCGAACTTTTTGAGTCCAAGTTGTCAATCCCTAGATGAATGTTTACTTTTGATTACAAAACTTTAATCAATTTAATGCTAACAATGAAATTTGATTTTGGAAAATAAGGAAAAATAACTGAAAATCTACAAAATAAGAAAATATAATACTTAGGAATTTCGGAGAAAAAAAAGTAGTTTGGATTCATGCTTTTACTTAATTGTCGCCTAATTAACTTTTCTACAAGTTAATTAACAAATTACTCATTTATTATATTAGACCTGATTTTTCAATTTTAATTAATTACTTCTCTTGAGGGAAATTAACCCTAATTAATTGTTTTAATCCACTATATCTATATGTTGGTTAGAACTTAAAACAAAAATGAAAAAAAGAATAAGATTTATAGCAATACATTTCAAATAAGAAAAATTGATGGATGAAATAAAAAATTAAGGATAAAAAACCCATTTTGATTAGATTCTTGAAGGCTTGTTCTTGATTTCCCAAAGTTCTTTCCCGTCTTTTTGAATTTATCTCCTCGTGCTCTAATTCTTGCACGGTTTCGTCAAAAAATGGAGGGGAAAAGAAAAAGGAAAGAATGGAATGAACACTGAAGCTCAATTCCTTAATTTGGGCTTTTAAAAATCCTAAAAATCGCCCCTAGAATCTATCAAACAAGCTCAGAATGTCTTCGAAAAATTAAAAATAGCCCCAAGCGGATGAATGGCGCACGCATTTTGGCTTCACTAATATGAGAGAGGGTTCATCGACCACGATGCTTCTTCTTTTTCATTTCCTTTTCACAACTTGGTCCTTCAATATTTGCACGTCCAGTCCCTCGATTAATCTTGCACATTTTGGTCCTATAGTTTTTTACTTTCATAGCAATCATGCTCTCCATAAAATTGCAACCAAGGTCCTTCAACTTTTGGTGCTTATGCACTTTGGTCCCCAAATTCATATTTTGTACGTTTTCAGTCCCTTGTCTCTTCCTTTTGCTATTCTCTTTCCATTTGGGGTTTTGACCTATAAAAGTCATAATTACACAATTATGAATAGAAATTCTCTGAATTTAATCAGTAATTAGTTTATTTGGACATCAAATAAGTGTACAAAAACACAATTATCAACAATCAAGTGTTGCTTTGGGATTGTTGCAGAGATTGACTCGGATAAAGTTGTGTATGAAGATGATTTATCGTACGTGCTGGTTCTTCTGATTCACGCGTGTCCTCGTCATGGTAATATTAATGCTAATCTCCTTTAGTTTTGGTATCTATAGATGAATTTAGTAAATTGACTAACAGCTAAGTTGTACCTTGTACATCAAAGTGAAGAGTTCAATTAATTACTCATCTTGTATGTCTTCTATTTTGTCTTTATAAATAGTTGTTTAAAGTCGAAATTCAAAGCTTGATATAAATTTTTGAAAGATGCATATTTAAAGTTTATATTGGAAGATTTATCAATATTTGGAAATATGAATCCAAGCAATGACTGCTTATTACCAATTCTGCTGTTGCTTTGATTCAGAGGTCAAGTTCATATTTTAAATCTTAATTGATGAAGGTACTTATTTTCAAATTTACTTACAAGTAAACATCAAAAACATTAAAAGTGGCGTTTCACTATTTTTGGGGTCCCTCTGAAAATCCAAGTGGGCATGTTTTCATGAAAGCCATGTGTTGATTTAACATAAATTTAGACATTTCTCTTCATCGAGGACATTGTGCAAATATAATAATTAGTTGAGGATCAATTGTTTAATCTTTAAAGCTCATGATGAATTTGCTACTCAGACAATAGTTTGAGGATCAATTGTTATATTATTTACTCTGTAAAAACTCTGGCAATGGGATATAAATGAGTATTTTTTATCGAAATTTTTATCCAAATGCTTGTTTGAAATCACAAGTGAGGTTTGAGAAAGTTAAAATATAATCATAGGTCCAAATTTACTAAAGTTAAGATAATTCAAGAGATTCAGATCAAGGGCTAAGGTGTTGCCATCTCGACAGGGCCTGTCATTTGGCTTTATTTGAATGGCAAAAGCCCATATAATATAGATAATTAAAAATTAATATTTCGTTAATTATTGAAAAATCAAGTTTACTTATTATGATGCTCATTATAGATCTAAATCATTTTCCTCAGTTGTAATGATTTCTTTATGGTAATCACCCAACACAATCATAGGCCTAACTAAAACAAGCACCTCAAAGATCCATGCAACTGTAGATTGTGTTAGCATATGCTTTGTTTTATTTAAAAATAATGTGTTACAAGATGATAAAGAAGACTGATATGTTTAATGATTATTTAAACATGCCCATTTTGGTGGTGGCACTATGTTATTACAAGATGATAAAGAAGACTGATATGTTTAATGATTAATATGCCTTGCTTGAAACAAAAGGTGCTTAAAATCATCATAGAATAGAGTCCCTTTTTATTGGAGGTGTTTCTATTACAATTACTACTAAATTTAAGTTTATTTTATTTTATTTTTTTAAACCTTTTTTCGAAGAGTAAAAATTGTGAGATTATAATTATTTTGCCTCTAAATTGTTGTAGTAATGGTCCTTGTCCAAGTTCTCAAAACAATTATATCGTTGTGATGTCTTTCAAAAGTTTTAATGATATTATAATTAGATTGGACAACTAATTTGATCCAAAGCATACGACTTTTTAGATATAACTGATGATATCTATACAGATGGATCTTGTATATACCGTACAATGAAGTACAACATAGGTGAATATCTATATGAATTCAAATATGTCGAATCAGATCTTTTACATTCTAGGTCTTTGGAAGAAAACTAAAAATTAATTTGATATTCACATATACTATTTGATTATGCGTAAAAATCTTGTTAAAAAGTCGATGAGTCTTTTGAATGAATTAGAAGGGATTTTAATAGTTATTTTTGAAAAGAAGATTTTTTATAACCTTTCCAAATTTAAGTGTTTATTAATGTCCAAAAATAATCTCAAGTGTAATGTTTGGCACACTGGAAGATACTTTCTTCACGTTACGTAAAGCACCATCACTAAAAACTTTATTTTTCATATATCAATTTGCTATTTTTTTATTTATCTAAAAAAAGCTTAAACCCTAACCTTAAGGGTATTCCATCACCCCTATCCTAGAATATCGTGAGGGAGGTAAATCGCAAGTTATGCCTTCAAGGATATAGGGGGGAAAGCTGCTTGTACACTTGCAGTTACTTAAGAGCCAAATCTATATTTCAGGATTTGAACCCTTGACGCAGCAGCCTCAAGCAAAACTGAATTTCTCCCCCCTCCCCTTTTACCACTCGGAGACGTGTCCAGGGGCCTTTTTATTTTATTATTATTATTATTATTTTTATTTGATCTCAGCTTATGCGGTGTTCAATCCATTGCTAAATTACTACTATTGATGATTTACCCATGCCTCCTGCTTTGTTGAATCAGCAGCAACGGAATCCTTGTCGTTACGCCCAAAAATCCAAATGCAAAACTCCAAAATATTTTCTCCAACTTGGAGTAGTAATCGAAATTATTGTTCCCTCCATTTAAATTGTGCTCTGTGAAAGGAAATCGAATCAAACAGCTATTTACTCCGACGCCTGCCGCCGTTCTTACATGGCTTTGTCGCGGCGGCGCCACCAGCATCACAACCGCACTCGATGCTTGATACCCGCCATTTCATCCGTTTCGGCCGCCCTTTTTCTACTTTTCTTTTGCTTTTCGTTTCTAGTCCCTTCTCCTGGAGACAGTGATCACTTCCACCAAACTCGACACTATTCCTCAGTATGTGGCATTAAATGATGCTTTGCTGTTGTATATAAATATTTACTCACATTTGAGGGTTTTGCTATTTGTTTGTTTCAGATGAATGATGTTATTGATGAAGGCAATGAGGTGCCGGTCTTTCGTGTTCCGGTTAGGGTTTTATCTGAAAGTATTATTAGTTTTATTTGAAGTTAACTTGGACGGTAGAACATTGGTTGATTGGATCTGAGTTCTGTATTTTCTCAATGGTGTCATGTTGGCTATTGAGATCTAGACTAGCGGCGGAGTATATGATCGTGATATTTGGACTTCAAAAAATGCTCAATTCTACTATGGATGCAGTAATTGCAGCATCAAATTTGCAAGTGAGCAAGCATTATTAACATGCACTCTTCCCCTTTCCATTTACATATTTTCTGGATCAAATTTCAATGTTTCTGTTCAGGGTTTTGTTTGTTGATATAAATCTGTTTTGTATATTGTGATCCCATTGTGTTTTCGCTCTACTACTTATATCGTCTCATCAACTATATGGGTTAAATATTGCTTTCAACTACAGAGGCTAAAGATGTCACACGTCCAAACCATTACTTGGCGATTGCAACCAGTGGAGGTCTAAATCAACAAAGAACTGGGGTATTGTTTAAAGCATTTGTTTTCTTGGTTGCTTATGAAGGGTTTGCTCAATATTCAATAATGCTCAATATTCAATAACTATATATTAACATATCTGATGGGAATTTTTCTTTTATTTACTCCACCCTTGTGCTCACTGAGGTTATTTTAAAGTTTAAGAAGTTTTGGTGAATTCAATTAGTATGCTTGCAGAATTCAAGGTCATAATTAGCGTTTGACAAGCAACTGCCAGGCCCATTTTACTGTTGGAAGTTACATCAATTATGCATTAATGAAGCAGAAATTAACAATCAAATGCCAGTTAATCTATAAAAAAGCTGATGATGACATTACTTCATTTAGGCATTAACATTGCACCACCAAATTGGAGGCACTAAGCAATACCATTTTGCTAATAGCTGGTGAAGACAATGGTTGTTATTGTTGTTGTTATTGTCATTGTTAAATAGTTTCTTGGAAGTTGGATACTTTTGCTAAGTTTATGGTATTTATCAATCTTTTTCTGGTGTTCGCATTGTTTGTTTCTTGCAATGGGTTTTTTATCATCTTAACAAACCTAATGCCATGAGACCTGGCTTATTTGCTTTCCGCGTGTATTCTTTATTTCATGTGAATTGCTGAAGCTCAATCTTAGACCTAAACTTTATATTTCTATACACTGTTTGGCAGATAACTGATGCCGTTGTTGCTGCTCGCATGTTGAATGCTACCCTTATTGTTCCAATACTAGACAAGACGTCTTTCTGGAAGGATAATAGGTACAGTCTTGAGAACTGCATTTAACCAAGCTTTTGCTATGAATACTTTTTATCTATGTTTGACATCGCTTTCTTTGCAGCAACTTTTCCGAGATCTTTAATGTCGATCGGTTTATATCTTATCTTGCAAAAGATGTTGAAATCGTAAAAGAGCCCCCACGGAGGAGAGGACATAAATGGTTAAACACTACTTTTTTATTTAGAAAATATTAATTATTTTGATAGTAACTCTCACCTAAATATCGCGAAGGATAAAAAAAAAAATCTTACCTTAGCCACTTATAGTAACCAATAAAAATGTTACGTATTTACTGTGAGTAAATTAAGTACAGTTTTTGTCAGTGCATAAATTAATTGAGAGGTGTGTCTTACTTGGGCACGAGTCCTCATCGGAGCAAAAACACCAATGGCATAGGAGAATCAATTATTGGATATCCACTCTAAACAATGATATCACGCTTGCTATAAAACAATCTACATAGTACAAACAATGAATTTTTTTTATACATTAATTTTTATACAACAATCTCCATAGTACAAACAATGAAATTTTTTATTTTTATTTATTTCCAATGATATTGACTCCTATTAATTTAACTAAATAAATATAAAGTGATAAGTGTATTTTATACATTTATTCGTGTTCTAAAATAGCAATATTTGATAGTTCTTTTGACAAATTATATTCTAAATTGTTGTATTTTATGTTTTATACGTAAACTCTGTAAATGAAAATGAGTTGAAGAAAAGAAGGAAAATTGGGGGAAAAATAGCAAAATCCAAAGCACGGGATTAAATTGGGTATTTTATACACTTATTCGGGGTCCTAAAATAGCAATATTTGATGGTTCTTTTGACAAATTATATTTTAAATTGTTGTATTTTATGTTTTATAAATAAACTCTATAAATGAAAATGAGTTGAAGAAAAGAAGGAAAAATTGGCGGAAAAATAGCAAAATCCAAAGCACGGGATTAATTGGTCATTGGATGAAGTTGGGGACTTGGAGAAAAAAATTTATTAATTGGGCCTCCATTGGACTTGTATTTGGAATCAAATCCTTTAATTAGTTGAACTTCAATTAGACAACATGGCTGCCGACTGGAAATTTAAGAATAATTGGAATTCTACTTGAAAGTGGGATATATATATATATGGAGAGACATCTACACAATTGGGCTGTTTCTTTTTTTAGATATATTCACAACAATTGGTGGGCTGAAAGTGGAGATTGTTTTGTTAAGGGAATATAATCCCACATCGGTAAAAATACCGAAATAATGATCAATATATAAAGGATTTGAACACTCCTCTTAACAAGGTTGGCCTTATTAAGATGGACCCCAAATCTTAACATGGTATCAGAGTCCATTAAACTCTAACAAGCGATTCGATCCGACTAAGTCTCTAAAAATGAGCACACGAATTTCAAGATTGGTCTACTCAAACGAGCCACCATCTTGCGGGGGCATGTTAAGATATTATAATCCCACATCGGTAAAAATATCGAAATAATAACCAATATATAAAGGATTGGGACACTCCTCTTAACAAGGTTGACCTTATTAAGATGGACCCCAAATCTTAACATGTTTCAACAGAAAACGGAGGTTGGTGACTGATTTTGAGAGATAATTGGATCCTGTATTGGAGTAAAAAATATAGGGCTGCCCAGGTTAGTAATAGATATATGTATACGCACACAAGAAACGGCTGCAAAAAGGGGAGTTTTGCTGGAAAAAAAAAAGGTTGGGGGGGGGGGGGGGGGGGNCTCTTTGCCACAAATATATACACGCCACACAGAAAACGACACCAGAAAAAGGGAGGATGAATTGGCGAAATTGGGCTGCAAGGTTTGGAGACATATACTTACATACAGAAGAAAGAAAGCAAAAAAAAAAAAAAAAAATTAGCTTGCATAGTCAAACATCGTGGCTGTTGGCTGTTACATATACATAAACACACATTAAACGAGGCTGCATGGGAGAAAAATTGATGATATACATACATGCAAAAAAAGTGGGCAGCTGGGTGGCTTGAGAAAAGAAAACAAAGGGGTTGCTGGCTGTAAAAATTTGAAAGCATATTATATGCAGACACACACAGTGAGAGTTGGAAAAAGGAATATACGAACACGCAGAAACCAGCAAATAAAGGGAAAAGGGGAAACAATCGGCAGCCAACAACATTGTGGAATTCATCACGTTTAGTCGATTTTTGGGTGATATCTTTCCACTTTTATTCGTTTAATTTCGACATTATTCGTGGCTAGATTTTTATATTACTAGGATGTAATGAATCCTTGTAATGAATTTTTAGATTGAATAATTAGACTGATGTTAAATTTTGTTTGAATGTTAAATTTGTTTGAATGTTTGGAAACTTATTATGGTTTAGTTTGCTATTCAATTACCTATCCAATAATTGAATTGTTTACGGATTTTATTGTCATCGAAAGAGATAATAGGATCAATACCACGAAGTGTTAAAAATTGTGATGTTCGATAAAGGATAGAGATATACATTTATGCTTCATATGGTTTGTATAAGATGTTCTACCTCGTTTAATGCATTTATCATATTCGTATCTTTCATTCAGAGATAGGAAGGTCACATGAGGGGAATAGATTTGATAACTATCGAGAGAGGTTTTCAATTAAAATAGGAACATTGACCAATAAGTATGATTTCAAATTGTTATTTTAAATTGTTGAATTAAAAATAGATTAATAAGAGGAATTCTACATTTTAGCAATACATCTTATAAATTAGATAAATTTTTACATTGCTTCAAAGTTAGTTAATAGATTTAATAGTGTTGGTTACAACTCGATTTTGCTATTCGATTAAGAGAATTGTTATCTTTAACTCGATCAACAGATAGTCCTAATGGGTTTAACACTCTACACACTACATATTACTTGCTCATGATCTTGTCCACTTGTGGGAAATCAAACGATAATTAAACCATGTTTGGCTTAGTTCGTTGGCTTCCTTTTTTAACAATTAAATATTTTTATCTTTGTAACTAATTTGTTTCTCTACTTGTCAAACTAATATGCAATGATCATATTGTAACAAACGCTCAAGGAGTGCCTAAGGACTCATTTGGCATTGTTTTGAAAAGTATAGTGTTATTTTTTAAACTAAAAAGCTATTTTTTAATGTGTTTAAATAATTTTTTGATAGTAATTTTGTTGAGAATTTACTTAATCATGCACAGGGAAGAAAGCAAATTTCAATTTCTTCCAATGATCTGCTTTATGTTTAGATAAAAACTGTGATAAAAATTGTACATTTCTTTAATTCTGTAAACTCCTTTGCTATTCTTCTGTTCCAACAATCTTGATCTACCACCTAAAACTATCCAATTGTCCAGCCTCTAATAGAAATCCACACAAGGAACAAGATTGAGAGAGAATCGGGTTTTTACTTTTCTTATGCTAGTAAGAAGAATGAAAAATATCTACAATTTCAAAACTCTAACTGCTTATTTATATAAGCCTACATGGGCTTCGCCTATCTCCTAACCCGGTTTAATATTTAATTAACTTATTTAATTAAATTCGGTCTATGAATTAATTAATTCGTATCTATTAATAAGCAACACAATTGATTAATTTATCCAACGCTTGTTAAATTAATTATTTGGTAAATCACAATCTTTTAGTTCTCATTTTGTGTGTTACCCATTAAGTTCTCACTCACAATCCCTAACGACATGAATTATTATTTTGATCTAATCAAAATTGATAAATTAAAACATAATTTTTTAAGTTATCGCTAATACACATCTATCGTCCCAAATTGACAGCTAGTAATGTGCCAATGCAATACATGTAATAGGAAATGTCACATGTTATAACAAAACAAAACTTGTTCATTTACTATAAAACTATGATCCTTTTGTCAATGTGATCAAATCAACTACGAGATATGAATAAGTGTTAATCTCAATTATCGATCATATATTTCATTCCCACTATTAAGTCAAACTACTTTTACACTGTGGTCAAGAATTTCGTTATCGACTTAACTAAGTGAGATGTAAATCATAATATTTTACTATCTAAGAGTGAAGAATCCTCTATTAGTTATTCACAACCTTCATATGATTCTTGACATATCTTAACAATGCCGTATTAGCAGTCCTTGGCAAAACAACATCTAAAATCACCAAAGTATGACTGACCTCATACAAAACACTATGATGACCTCAAGTCAAATGACCAATTTTATTATCGAACGTTAAAGATTAATCACTGACACTCAGATAATAATCCATGTCGAATCTCTCAACGGGTCTCCAATGTTTTGTTCTATAAAAAAGCATTTATGTGTTCATTTAAGTGTCACCACACTTTAGCTAGTGAAATTAGCTACTTACTTCACAAGTAAGAAATGTCACACGTGGTGGTCTATCCGTAACAACGATATCTGTATTTCGTTATTATTTACGATCACGAATAATTTAAAATTCAATCATATGTAATTTGTATCTCACAATCACAACTCTTTGTGATTAACAAATTACTAAGATTTGAATCTACGGACTGTATTATTTAATTGAATTGAATATTAATTAAATGACAGATCTACCATAAAATTGCATCAACTATATATTAAAAGTAATTATATCCAAAGTTAATTAGACCTAGATCATAACATTGATAAACTCTCACTTGCACTTGATCTAATCACCAATGCATCTAATAAAATAAAAACTTACGATCATATTTACACTGTGACAACCCTTTATTAGTGGATCTTCAATATTATCAATTGCAGGAATTAATTCCTCTCTTTACATCATTTCTTTATATTATCTATCTGATGAGATAATATTACATTAATTCATGTTTGGATCATTGATTAGACCTTAGTTCTTTCGTTTGCCCAATGGCTTCATTGATATCACAATATAATGACATGTGACCAACAATGTTATGAACTACTCTAATATCATTAATAAATATCTTGATCCACACTACGAATCTTTGTTGCTTCTGAAGCAATCATGTATTAGATTTTTGCTATTGAATTAACGATTTTTTCATATTTGGAACTCTTCCGACACATCACTTAAAAGTTAATCAATATCCTATTGGAGATTTGCTATTATTCTAGTCCAATTAGAAGTTAGTATCAGTGTATCCATGAACTCTCATTTCATTTTCTCCACATAAAATATTCTCAAGATTTTAACTATATAG